TTTGAGAAGGAGCCTTCTAAAAATCACCTAGTCAATAATGGAACAGACTCCTTTGCAAAGTAGTGAGCTCCCTATCAAGGGAAGCATTCACACAATGGTTGGATGCCAGGGATGGAATAGATTATATTCCTGAAAAGCCTGGAATCTTGGACCAGATAAAACTACAAGGCCCCTTCTAGGTCTGAGAGTATATGACCAGATAGCACCAGGCAGAATCAATTGGCTTTGCTTCAATTCAATCAGTATTTGCATTTCCATTATTACCTGCCTGGCTCTCCACTAGGTACAGAGATTATAAACTCCCTGAGGGCAGGCATTACGTTTTATTCATCAGAATCCCTTATATTGGCTTTGAGGAGAATAGGGACTCCATAAATATAGGCTGACTGATTGATTGATTAAAGGCAGCTGGGATAGCCAGTGGCTGCAATTTACCAAACAAACCTCCAGATTGGGGTGGGGGTGGGGAACAACAGAGAAAATGATTTTTCCACCACGTAAAGAAATTTCCAAAGAACAGCTAGGAAAAATAAGTAATTTTCAGAAATTGTATTACAGAGGAAAACAGTTAGCTTGTACCTTATAGACTCGAGGCTTTCTTCGGCCCTTTTTTTCTATGCAATTACAAGAATTAAGTCATCTACCATCCCACACATTCCAAGGTCAACCTTCCAGCAAGCTCAATCTCCATTCAGATCACACAGCCCAAACCTGGAAATAAAACTAATGAGGCCTCGGTCACACAGCCCCTCTCTGAAGATCATGTACTTTATTCCTGATGGCTGCACTCAGACCTTTGCTGACTCATTTTTAAATATGCAGTTCTAAGCATGCTTGGTTTTGTTTGGGTTTTTTTTTTCTTTTAGCCTAAACATATTAGCAGCAGAAGGGGAACATGGGTGGAGGGGCTACCAGAAACAGGTGTAACAACGGCACCGAAAAGTGACAGGTGCCTGTCCAGCATCCAGGGAAGAGGCAGAAACACTAAAAGTAAGCACACACCTGTATTACTGCACATTGCAATGGGCAACAGATTCAGATTGATTCTATTCCATTCAGCAGGCACTGATTAAGCACTTCCTATATGCAAAGCAGCATGGTGTGGTGGTGACATAGCCAGGCTAAAAGTAAAGGAGACCTGGGTTCAAATTCTGTCTCTGACACATATGGCTTCATGACTCTGGGCAAGTTAATTAACTTTTCAGTGCTCCAGAAAATTCTCTGAGACTATGAAGTTGCAACAATTGCTGATCTACTTTGCTTTGGTAGAGAAGTTTCCTCAGCAGGCCCTCCCTACACCAAGGAAATCACAGATCTAGGTTTTCATTTTTTTAAATGTGCCAGGCACTGTCAAAAGACAAAAACAAGTGTCCCTGATCTCAAAAACGCTTCCATTCTACTAAGGAAGAATGTATCCCAGTCATCATTTTAAAAAAATCAAAAAGTTAAATTGTATTCAATGTCTTATGTTTGTAAAATTTAGAAAGATTTTCATTCAAAATGGCTAAAATAAAGAGTTTCTTTTAGAAGGTGCACCAGTTATCTCGAAATTTTACTGATGTAGAATACCAGATTCCCCAATGTTACTGGATAAATGGTGGTTTACTGTAGCTGAACTCCACACTTCTGCCCTAGGCCCTCCTCTTCTTTTTTTTTTTTTTTTTGGGGGGGGGAGGCAATCAGAGTTAAGTGACTTGACCAGGATCACACAGCAAATGCCTGAGGCCAGATTTGAACTCGGGTCCTCCTGACTCCAGGGCCAGCACTCTATCCTCTTCACCACCTAGTTGCCCCGGTCTCTTTTCTTTCCTTTAGTGTTCTCATCCACTCCCTGGAATTTTTTTTACCTCTATGCCAATGACTCCCAAGTCTGCTTCTCTACCCTCAAACCTCTCCCCCAAGCTCCAATTCCATAGTTTCAGCTGCCTGCTGGACATCTCCATGTGACTATCCTACCAGCAAATTCAGTCCATCAAAATCTAACCCCTTATTTCTCTTTCCCAAAGCCTCCCTCTCTCCTAATGTCTCTATGTTGCTAGCATCACCAACCTCTCAGTCACTCAGTCTCAAAACCTTTGACTCATCTTTGACTTTTTCCCTTTTCCTCCCTCTTCCACGTCCAATCAATTGCCACGTTCTGTTGATTCTACTCCAACAAGACTTCTCAAATCTGCCTCTTCCTTTCCACTCCCACTGAAATCAGCCTAAATTAGCCCCTTATCCTTTTGTATGAACCACAGTAATAGCCTCCTTCATCCTTCCTAGTTTTGCCTAAGCAATCTTCCTACCATAGTGCTCTGATCACTCCTCACTCAAAAACATCAGTCACTTCTCCTTGCCTAGTAAATAAAAGACACTAATCTCTTCTCTGTCACTTACAAATTCTGTAACCTGGGGCAAGTCACAACCTCTTTGGAGTAACTTGTAAAAATGAAAGGATTGGATTAGATGGCTCTTCCAGCTTGAAATCTACGACCCTCCCATAGACTCTTGTGTTCTAGTTAGACTGGACTCCTATCCAGCCTCCATTCCCATCTTACCCTCTCTTCTCTCTGTATCTGTTTGTCTTTTCCCTGCTGTAGAATGAGCTTTGCACCTCACACCCTTGCTATCTCAGCCTATTCAAATCTCTCCTCCATTAAGGCCTAACTCAGCTGCTCTCTATTCCATAAAGCCTTCCCTAGCCTCCTTCCCCACCTCCCCAACTGCCTTGAAGGATAATGGGAACTTTCATTCCTGTAATTTCACATCATTGCCCAGACCCCTCCTTTGCACTGATTACATTCACCTTTGTATCATTATTTTACACTTATCCTTTCTTCCCATTAGATTTTAAGCTCCTTAAACACAGGGGGCATGTCATATCAATCTTTGTACCCCCCAGCACTTAGCCCAAAGCCTTGCACATAGTATATTCTTAATAAATATTGGTCAAATGAACAATATGTAAATGTTTTGCATGATTGCACATGTATAACCTATATAAAATCGCTTACTATCTCAGGGAAGGCGGAGGGAAGGAAGGGAGAGAATTTGGAACTCAAAATTTTAAAAACCAAATGTTAACATTGTTTTTACATGTAACTGGAAAAAAATAACATACTATTCAAAAAATAAATATTGGTTGAATTTTGCTTCCTGACAATGAGAACTGTCCCAAAGTGGGATGGACTGCCTCCAAGAAGTAGTGGGCTCTCCACTCACTAAAGATCTTCAAAACAAGGTCTGTTGGCAATGTTGCAGAGGGTATCCTGGGAAGGAAGTAGATTGGGCTAGATGGCTTCTGAGGTCTTTTCCAATTCTGAGGCCTCTGTTCATTGAATTGAGTTGATTTTTCCAAATTTGATAAGAGACAAATTAAGGGGGGAGGGGGTTGCTTCCCAGCCAAGAATCTAACCAAGATTCAACCAAAATATGACCGTATTTAGAATGCTGGAACACCAAGAATATTTTGCAAGTGCAGCTGGAACATTAAACGAACAAGTCAAACAGTGTGAAAGGGACCTGTCCCTCGATACCCACGGAGAGGAAGCCTTGTTTTCACACAGAGCATCCCAAAAATGTGCAACGGTAGCGAAATACTGGAATCCTGCCTATCCTTCAAGGCAAATTCAAGTCAACAAGCTTTCATTAGGTGCCTACTAAGTATCAGGCACTGAGCTCCATTCTAGACATACACAGACAAAAATAATGGACAGTCTATCTACCCTCAAGGAACTTACATTCTACTGGGGTGAGTAAATATACCTCATAAACCAATTCGAAACCAAGTGATTTCCAGGGTGAAGGGGGACAAGGGAAGAACACTAACAATTGGGGGAACTGGAAAAGTCCTGACAGAGGAAATGACTCCCAAACTGAGCCAGGGATGCCAAGAGGTGGGGCAGAAGGACAGCATTCCAAGCATGAAGGACAACTCTAGTGCTACCTCTTCAATTAACCTCCTTCATGCTTCTCCCACCTCACCCCCAACCGGATGCAACCCCTCCTCCCAGCCTGAGCCCCCCCTAGCACTTGGCTACCCCTGCCACAGCACAGAACACATTCCTTATCCTCATTATGTGTGTGCTCATCATCTTCCCATTAGTCTGTAAGCTCCCTAAGGAGCTTTTTTCCCCCTTTTTTTCTCTCTTTTTTTAAAAATTTGGTACTTATTTGTTCTCCCTCCAATTCCTCTCCCCTAAAAACTTTTGTTTTCATTCACTTTAGTGTATCCTCTACTCTAAAGGGCCTTTCTCATACGTAGTTAGCTCTCAATGAATATTGGATGAATGAATGAATGAATGAAATGGGCCTGAAGTAGAATAGATATCTTTTAAAAGGTTTTTGAAAAACCTGGAGTACTTTTAGGGAAGCATAGGAACCTTGGGATAACAAATAGGCCCTCTAAACATCTGGTACCACCCAAAAATAGTCCAAGATAGCATCAGATATAGATAGATATAGATATAGATATAGATATAGATATAGATATAGATATAGATATAGATATAGATATAGATATAGATATAGATATAGATATAGATATAGATATAGATATATATTCATATCATACTGGAATATTCCAAATGGAGAAGGAAGGAGTAAAGAACATACTGTAATAGCAGGAATGTTCCAAAGGGTTGGGCTTTTTGTTTGTTTTCTTGGTTTTTGTTTTTCAGTAACCAACCTTTAGGTCCCATGGACAAGTTGCCACAAAATTCAAAGATCTGTCACTTTGAAGGAGAAAAAAACGATTCTATAGTTTCTTAGTCCTCTTGCCCAAACTTTCTGGCAATCCCATAGAAAAACACCTATGTCCACAGGATTATATCGGCTCTTTCTGTGTATCCCATGTCCTACTGGATGTAACCAGATAGCACACTAGAGTAAGGTCTGAAGGACCCAGGGGTGAAGACATTGACTTTGGGTAACCATTTGTGGAAGTTTAAGGTGCCCAAATGTCCCCCTCCACCAAGAGCTAATGGTTGAGATGATGCTCTACTGGCTACCGTCCTTACCCGCCAATGTCCTGCTTCACAAACTCTCCTGGTTCTTTCCGTTCTTGCCCAGTTCCAGTTGGAAGAGTGGCCATCACAAGGAGAAGCCCAAGGCCTATGGGAGGAATTCCTGGGAGCTTCATCTTCTCAGGGAAAAACACAGAAAGACCTGTATGAGAAAAGCTTGAGAGCTGGGAAAAGAGGGGGTTGGAAGAGAAGGGAAAGAAGTAGACAAGAGAAAGAAAACAGGGAGATCAATATTCAATTCCATTTGAATCTTCCTGTTTCTACGGCAGCCCACTTACCAAATTATCAGCTCCCTAGTCTCCACTTTTCCCCAACTTGTCATCTAAAACATGGCTTCTGACAAAGTTAATTAGATCTGGCAATCCCAATGTCACTCACTGTATTTCCAACAGGGTCCCACCAGCATGTACCAGGTGCTTCCTTTGCTCACCTAAGGAAGCTAGAGTGGGCTAATGGAGTGGCCCTTGGACTTCGAGCAGGGAGACTGAGGCACTACCTTGAGTGAGCTAATTTCCCTCACTGGGTTTCTATTTTTTTCCCCTGCAGAATGAGGAAGCAGATGGCCTGACATTTTGTGAAATTCATAGGCTGAGTCCACAGAACACCCAAACATTTAAGTAGAAAAGTCAGCAACCTCAGTGTTCTGCCTGTGCTAGGATAAACAGCTGCATATTTCCAAATCATGAAATGCCAGCTTAAATGAGACCCGAGTCACTCGAGGGATGACCTTTTCCCCTTAAATTGGATTCTTTGTTTTGCTGTGGCTCTTGTCAGGTAGAATCTTAGAACGGCTAAGTCATGTCATTCCCCATACTGGGAATGCCCTTAACCCCATCTCTGCCTGCTGAAATCCTACTCATCCATCCACGAACACCACCTCCAGGAAGTCATCCCTTCCTGCTCTGGGTCAGAGCAGATTTCTTCCTTAGGATTATAGATTTAGGGTGGACGGAGACTTAGCCTCACTCCCTCCATAGTTAAGAGACTTACCCAACATTACTCAGGTACTAAGTGGAGAAACCAGGATCAAACCCTGCTCCTCTGACTCCAAATGCAGCATTCTTACTGCATCACAGTGCCTCCTTCTAAACTCTCAAGACATTTTATTTGTTCCCCTCTTATGGATTCAGCATATTCTACTTTCCGGTACCATAGCAATATGGTAGCATAACATACTAATACTGATCCAAATATAGGCTACTTCTGAGTATAAGCTTTACTCCCACAATGAGATCTCTTTATACATACATATATGTACATGTGTATACACATGTATACGTACATATGTGGATAGGTAGGCATACATCAAAAATAATACAATATAACTTTACAAAAATACTGCCTTATTTTTAAGACACCTTGTTCTGTTTTGTTTTCTTTAAAAGATTTTTCATACAGGTTTTTTAATTTGCATTTTTATGCTTATATTTATTTTTATGCATTTATATACATAGCACTTTGAGATTTGAAAAGCATTTTATATATGTGAGGTGAAGAATGCTGGTTACCCCCCCCCCAATTTTACAAATGAGGACACTGAAGCTGAGAGAAGCTAAGGGACATCCCCAGTGCCAAAGTGACCCAGGCTAGAGTTGAATCCAAGCCCAGGGCTCTGGCCACTGTCATCTAGTTACATCATTTCTATGTAAATTGCTTTGCAAACTTTACAGATGTCGGTTATCATCCTATTTAGGACCATTCTCACCAGCCCTCCTTTACCTTGGCTAGCTAGTAAGCTCCCTTGAAGTCATGAATTGTGCCTTATTTGACATTGCTAAACTCAGCCCTTGTGGAAGTCCCTTTGGCAGCATCTTTTGGCTTGCCAATAATGGCACTCTATCGGTGCCTTTGCCCCTTAGATCTCATTAGTGACCTCGCCTGTACGTAAATATTTTGGGTTTAGCTTTGGTCACATCCCCAGTTGCAGGCATACAGTATTTGGGGGCTGTTTGGGAGGGGAAAAGAGGCCTGTGTTGTGTTTAGAATCCTTGGAGTGTTTTCGCTAGAGTGGCCAGGGCCCATGGGGGCGGTGGGAGGGATGCCAGAGGTGCTGGCTGACCAACATGAGGAAGGCTGCAGACAGCCCCACAATTAGAAGGTGTGCCCAGCTACTGGCCAGTATGGGGCTGCTGACAGAGGTGATGAGGAAGTCCAGGTTTATCAGGCCAGGGACGGCTGAGTGCAGCTGAGGTGTGCTGGATCTGTCAAGAGCTGAGGAAGACAGCTCAGAGAGACAAGGAGCTAGCCCAGAGGGAAAGCCCTGGGGCCTGCCCTCAGCAAAGCGGAAGCAGGTAATTTGTCTTCAGTAGCCTACGCCCCTTGAGGCAGGCTCCCTTCAAAGCTCAGTCAGTGCTGGAGAGGGGGACAGAGGATCTGAAGGAGATAGATTGGGAGAAGGTGGAGGGCACCTGGGGTTGGGGAAGGGGATGAACACAAGTAAGCAGGCTAAAAGCTTTTTGGATGTGTGGATGGAGAGAGACAGAGAACATGGAGAGGGAGGGAGAGGGAAGGAGAGGAGGGGGGAAGAGAGGGGGGGGATATTTATTAAATGCTTACTATGTGCCAGGAGCTGGAGGATACAAATCCAAGCCAAACAGCCCCTGCCCCATTCTAATGGGGCCTTTGGGAAGATCCAGGAGTCTCTAACCCAAGAGATTCTTGGTTTTTCAGCCCTATTCTTCCCACAGCCAGGGTGAAGTCCTTGGCATAGGGTGGGGGTAGCCTCCTCTGCTCATGGTGGGGTGGATGGAGTTATTTAGGGTAGAGTCAGTAAAGATTAGGATCAGATAGTATTAGCTGGTGGTAGGTGCTAAGGGAAGTAGATGGTAGGAAGATTCTGCCTCCTCCCCTCCTCCCCAGGCTTTCCAGAGACTGTCAGGCTAGTGGGAGAATTTCCCAAACTCCTTTGGGAAAAAAAAATCCCTAGGCTGTTGGCTGGAATTCTGTTAGTTTAGGGAATCTTTTGAGTTAATGCGCAAGCAGCTGCCCATGACCCTTAACACCTAGCTAAGATCCATCTTAAAGGAATGAGGGTTTCTTGCCCTTTGGAGGAACCAAGAACTCTGGGATTTGGGATCCAGAAGGGTTGCTCTGAGACCATTTGGTTCAAAGGTTCTTAACCTTTGTTATGTCCAAGACCCCTTTGGCAATTTGGAGAAGCCTTGGAGATTACTTTTCAGAATCATGTTTTTAAGTACATGAAATATGTAGAGTTACAGATGAAACAAATAATGTTGACATGGAGTTAGAAAGGGAAAAAAAAATAACATGTTCATGGACCCCATGTTAAAAAACTCCCAATATCAAGTCCAAACCCTTCATTTTACAGATGGTGAAGCCAAGAACCAGAGAGAAGAATTGATTTGCCCAAGGTCACACAGCTAGGAAGTCATGAGAAAAGTGGGGGGAGTGATAGGTAATTGAGAACAGAGACAGGGTAGAGGATGGTGACAGAAGGGGAGCCCCTGGGGATTCAGAAAGCACTGAACCTGTAAAGTAGGAAGTAGGAGACAAGTGCAGAGAGGCAAATGGAAGGGATCTTTTGCCTTCTTCACAATTTTCCCCAGGGTTCATCTTGCCTTTTTTCTCTTTTTATCTCCCTCCCAGAGACAATAACAGGAGGGTCAAGGGATTTGGTTCAGTTGTTTTAGTTGTGTCTGACTCTCCACAACCCGATTTGGGGGTTTCTTGGCAAAGATACTAGAGTGGTTTGCCATTCCCTTTCTCTAGCTCATTTTACAGATGAGGAAGCTGAGGCAAATGGGATTAAGTGATTTGCCTAGGCTCCCACGACTAAGTGTTTGAGGACAGATTTGAACTCAGGAAGACAAGTCTTCCCGATTCTAGGCCTAATGCTTTATCCACTGCAGCGCTACCTAGCTGACTGGGTCAAGGGCAATAGTCCCTTAACTCCAATAAGACTCTCTTGTCCCCCAAGCCATTCTCCCTCTCTCAGTCTCAAATTCCTCCTCTATAAAATGAAAGTGTTCAGTTCAAACCAACAAACATTCATTGTGACAGAGATACAAAAAAATAAATGACAAAAACAGTCTTGTCCTCAAGGATCTTACCATCCAATGGAGAAATAAATAGGAGCTGACAACTGGAAGGACTTTAGGGTTTGAGGCTAGTAAATCCTCCTCCCCCTCCCCTCCTCCTCCCCCAAAGGTAGAAGCCTGCAGGCATTATTATTCTGATTTTATACATGAGCGATCAGAGATATTAGGAGACTTAAAACTTAGCAACCCTCATATAGGCCTGAGGCAGAAGTAGAATTTAAACTCTAGGCTCCCAGTCTCAGATTCCTGCACTCCATTGACTACACAGCCATGCAACTCAAAATCTGTAATTCTAAGACCAGAACTCATGCCTTAACCCCATTCAGGGAAGTGCCCCTCACTTTCCTGGAACTTTGGGCCACAATGAGCTACTTCCAGCTAGGGTTTGGGCCTAGCTTTTTGGCTATGGGATCTGGAGTTCTGTGCTTGAGTGGTCACACGTTCCCCTTAGAGCAAGGGATGTCCTCGTGTTGTTCCTGGCTTATTAGGCCACTCCACAACAGCTGAGCTGCAACTCCTGCTCCATTGCATCATGGAATTAGGGCTGAAAGGCACCTCAGAGGTCAAGTTGAACCCTCTCACTTACAGATTGTACGCGGCATAAAGACCACATAGCTAGTGTCAATGCTGGTATTTGGATCCAGGTCTCCAGATCCAGTACTCTATCCACTATGCCATGTTGCCTTGTTCTGTACCTTTCCTTACCAGAAAATTTTGGCATCTTGGCTTGGGTCCCTCAGAGCTCCTGGGAATCTCCCATTTAGATTCATCACTTTATAACTTACAAGGCTCTTCCCCACATATATTAGCTACTTTGCTCCTCCCAACAATCCTGTGAAGTCAGGCAGGGTTTATGCTCATTTTACAGAGGGAAAAACCAAGGCTCCCAAAGCAGCAGCAGCTCATATTTCCACAGAACAGGAATGGTTACAAAGTGCTTTCCTAGCTATAGCTAGGAAACCCCATGAAATTGGTAGTATGAGAACTTTAAGGTCCATTTTACCAATAAGGAAACTGAGGCTCAGAGAACTTAAATGACTTGCCCCAAATCACACAATAAGCATCAGAGCCCACTCTGATGGGAGTCATGTGACTAAGTCCAGGGC